ACCCCCACTCCCAGGCATGGGGTGCCCACCTCCTCCCCCTCCCCCACTACCTGGAATAGGCTTCGGCCCCCCTCCACCTCCTCCCCTGCCTGGTATGTCCATCCCCTCCATGGTGGGTGGCGTGGAGGAGATCATTGTGGCCCAGGTGGACCACAGCTTGGGCTCAGCCTGGGTCCCCAGTCACCGCCGGGTGAATCCACCCACACTGCGCATGAAGAAGTTGAACTGGCAAAAGCTGCCATCCAACGTGGCACAAGGTGAGCCCCTGTTCTGGTGCAGCCTCCCGGGAGAGTAGGTGCACCCTGCCTGTCCCTTCTATGTGTCCACCATGCATACACTCAGCTTTGCTTGACCAGGGCAGCTTAGGCTTCTGCTCTGAGCTCATTTTCCATGTGTCTGGCATGGGACTTGGGAGGATCAGAGCAGAGTCCACCTCAGAAGAATGTCTCTCATCCTGCACACAGCCCTGTGGGTCATGGATTTCTGCATTTGCAGGCCCTGCCCTGCCCTGCCCTGCCCTGCCCCAACCTAGTAGACTCTCAGTGCAGTGCCCTAGGATTCAGGTACTGGTGCTCAGAGAAGGCCAGGTCACCCACTAACATGGACATCTGTGCCAACTTGGATGCACAGTCTGACAGCAACTGGAGGCTTCCTTTATCAGATGCCTATTAAGTGCCTACTGTATGTTCAGCACAGACTGGGCTCCAGGCAGGCATCTTGTTCAGCCCTCAGAGGCCTAGGCCCACCAGCCTTTGGACCCCCAGGCTCACATTAAGGGTGAGCACCTTGCCTGCCCTTCTCCTACAGAGCGCAGCTCTATGTGGGCAGCTCTGAGCAGCCCCTGCACGGAGGGGGTGGAACCTGACTTCTCCAGCATCGAACAGCTGTTCTCCTTCCCCACCGCCAAGCCCAAGGAGCCCTCTGCTGCCCCAGCGAGGAAGGAGCCGAAGGAGGTTGGACAGGGACAGGGACTGACCCACCTCTCCCGTGGGTGGGGTGTCCTGCTTTGATCGCCTTCCAGGTACCAGCCAAAGGTGGGTTTTCTAGGTCACGTTTTTGGACTCCAAGAAGAGCCTGAACCTCAACATCTTCCTGAAGCAATTTAAATGGTGAGCAAATCTCTGCCAAGCCCAGCCCCAGCCTCGCTGTCTAATCTGAGCTTCCTAATCCTGCCCCGCAGTGCCCTCCACAGGCCGCCTAGGTTAGTGTATGCTCCAGCCCCAGGGCTGTGGGTAGCTGCCATAGGCGGTTCCAACCAAGGTACCTACCAGCCACCAGCCCCAGCTCTTGGGGTAAAAGTGAGGCCCCTAAAGTGTCTGGGCTGACTTCAAGGCCACACACAAGCTGTGACCAAGTCAAGGGAGGACTGAGCCCTGCCTCCCGGTCCGCAAAGTCTTCCCTCCGGGGAGCAACTTGTGAACCCCTCACCCAATGCCATCTCGAAGCCCTGCAAGCGGATGAGAGGAAGACGGCAACTCATGCTCCCTGACTTTCGTTCTCACCTTGTCCAGCTCCAATGAGGAGGTCACCACCATGATCCAGGCTGGGGATACAACCAAGTTTGATGTGGAGGTTCTCAAACAGCTCCTGAAGCTCCTTCCAGAGAAACATGAAGTGAGTCAAGGCCCCGGGCCAGCCAGGGAAGCAGGGAAGGCAAGGTCCTGACCACCCCAACCCAGCAGAGAGCCACTGGGAGGTCGGAGCCACCAGGATCTTCATGAGGAGCTGGGGGTTGGTGGGCACTGGGTAGACAGACAGAAGATTGCTACACGTGGCTTCTCCTGGTAGATTGAGAACCTTCGGGCATTCAAGGAGGAGCGAACCAAGCTGGCCAATGCTGACCAGTTCTATGTCCTCCTGCTGGACATTCCTTGGTGAGCACACCCGCCCTGGGACCCCACCCAGCCCATAGGGAAGGAAAGGGCAGGCAGAGCAGGCTAGGAGCCAAGTTTGGGTGAGGAAGAAGGGGTTAGAAAGGCAGCTGGACCTGGGGCTTCAGAAACAGGTCACCTAGTCTGCCATCCAGATGTCACTCATACCTCTTCATCCCCTCCCAAAAAGCAGAGCCATGAGGCCTCCTGAGCCACAAGTTCCAGAGTTGTCCTGAGAAGCCCCAGGCTGCCTAGGCCCCGACAGAATTGCCCAGGTCCACTTATATCCTAGGAACGGGCCTAGGAATATGCATGTGCCCAGGCCGGGCTAGGCCATGGGTACTCCTCCCTTAACCTACCCACTAAGGACAGAACTTGGGCCCAATGACAGGCATGGGGGAGCCTCCTAGCCCTGACCCCCTGCCTGCCATACCAGCTACCAGCTGCGGGTGGAGTGCATGCTGCTGTGCGAGGGCACTGCCGTTGTGCTGGACATGGTGCGGCCCAAGGCCCAGCTGGTGCTCACCGCCTGTGAGAGTGAGTGGGGCCCAGAAGTCACAGGGCTGGGAGGGACAGGCCTACCACATGTGAGGGGACTGGTCAGCTGTACTGCAGCCATGTCATAATGTCTGCAGAGGTGCCCTTCCCCACCAAAAGCCACCACCACCTCTGTCACTACCTCATGAGATGCACCCTCTATATACACCCTCAGTGCACACAGAAGTGACAACACGCCCCATGCCCACAAGCATAGTATGCATACATGTTCATAGACAACCATGCACGTACACACAGACACAACCATGTACATACACTGACAAGTGTGAACACCCTTCATAATGAGGAGTGACAGAGACCTGCCTAGTCACAGGTCAGGGACACAGATGGATTCCGATGACCCAGGTGCAACTCATTTCAGTCAGGCATAAGGGTGCCTGGCCACTCCATCTCACTAAGCCAGGAGGGTCCTCCCTGTAGCCCAAGGAACAGAGATCTGAGAACCAGTGTGGTCACAGGTCAGAGGAGGCTTCTCTTAGCATCCCAGGGTCCTCACCCAAAGAGCCAGGTGGTCATCATGCTCCTGTTGGAGTTGTGGGGGTTCAGAAAACAATGGGAAGACTTTCCAGAGCCCCTAAGCCTCTTGGTGGTGAGGGGTCACACTCCCATGAAGCCCCTGCCTTATATCCTTCCTGGTGCTGGGCTGGGCCTGGGGTCAGGGAGTGAAGGAAGCAGCCACACATGTTCCAGGGCACCAGGAGGCCTTCGGCCTCCCCTCAACCCTGCCTCCTTGTCAAAGGCCTGCTCACCAGTCATCGGCTACCCATCTTCTGCCAGCTGATCCTGAAAATTGGGAACTTTCTCAACTACGTAAGTCAGGGCTGCCCTGTGGCCCACCCCTGCCTACCCTGGGAGGCTGGAGACTCACTCCCAGTCCCTCACAGGGCAGCCACACGGGAGACGCAGATGGCTTCAAGATCAGCACGTTGTTGAAACTCACGGAGACCAAGTCCCAGCAGAGCCGTGTGACACTGCTGCACCACGTGCTGGAGGTGCTCCCCCCAGGGACCTGTGGAGTGGGATGCCCCATACTCTGGCCACCTCATTCTAGGACTGTCCTTGGGTCAATCACTTGCAGACCGATCCATAGCCCTGCCTATCCCCAGAAGTCCTGGGCAACACCCTCCCCCCCGTACTGAGTCAGGCCTCTACCCTGCCCCAGGACACCCACCTGTCTCTGGAAAGCAAAAATGTCACAAGATCACAGGCCAAGGACAAGATTCAGAGGCCCTGGGAGGGCCAGAGGGTTGGCAGGGGTTTGGGCTTTAATTTCTCAGGGTTAGAATCAGGGGTATCCCCAAGCCCAGTGGGACCAGCATGGGTCTCACTGGACACACTGTTGCAGGAAGTGGAGAAGAGCCACCCTGACCTCCTACAGCTGCCCCAGGACCTGGAGCCACCCTCCCAAGCTGCTGGGTGAGTGTTCCTGCCAGCCTCATTCCTTAGCAGCTCAGACCCCAACGTGTGCTGTACAACCCACTGCCCCAAAGGACAGGGACTTTCACTTTGGGACAAGATTATGTGACTGCTCCAGCCTGCTGCCATGTAACTTAAATATGAACATGCAGCCTTGAAGGGACCAGGGTGACTGTCTGGCTAACCTTTGTGACAGCCATGAGCTAGCTGGCATACTACCCCATGGTGCAGATGAGGAAACTGAGGCTCAGGCAAATGATGTTGCCTTCTTGAGGTCCCTCCACCCATAGGGAGGCTAGCTGGCCACCAACTCCAGAGTCCATTCTCCCTGTGCTAGCCCTGCATGGGCCCCACTGCAGGGAGATTTTCTGATCACAGGAGCAGCTGGGCCTTAGGGATGATCAGGCAGGAGGGGCAGGCTGACCTCGTGAGGAGCTGGTGTGCTGCCAGGACGGCTCATTTGAGCGTCACTAGAGCAGGCACCTATCCCACCATACAGGGCTCTTAGACTGGACTGACTTCTGGCACCTGCAGTATGAAAATTGTGAGGCACCAGGGTCCCCAGTAGGGTTTGGGCAGGGCCTCCGATAGTCTCAGGTTCCCAGTGAGGGTGTAGACAAGGGCCCATCGTGGTGGGACAGCTTCACAAACACCTGATGCAGCCAGGCCTTTGGCGCCTTTCAGGATCAACTTGGAGATCATCCGCTCAGAGGCCAGTGCCAACCTGAAGAAGCTTCTAGAAACAGAGCAGAAGGTGTCCACCTCGGTCCCTGAGGTGCAAGAGCAGTATTCCAAGCGCCTGCAGGCAAGTGAGGCTAAGGGCCCTGGGGCTGTGTTAGGCACACATGGGATCAGAAGAGGTTCCCTGAGATGCTCCAGGGAGGCAGCACAGATCTTGGGGTGTGGAAAGAGTAGGTGGGGTGAGCAGAGACCAAGTGAGGGGAGAGCGAAGCAGAAGGAGGGACCCAGAGTAGCATCACTGGCTCCTCTTCTGGAGTTTTCTATGGGGTGTGGACTCCCTGACCCAGGGCTGAGGCTCTGAGGTATGCCCAACATAGCACAGGCTCTGCCCTACACAGAGACCTCTGCCCAAGGGGTTTGTGCCTAAGACCTCCCCTGTAGGCTCCCATGGCACACTGGATGGTGACAGAGACTTGTGTCCCCAGGCCAGCATTGAGGCCTCTCAGGCACTGGACAAGGTGTTTGAGGCCATTGAGCGGAAGAAGCTGCAGTTGGCTGATTACCTGTGTGAAGACCCCCAGCAGCTGTCCCTGGAGGACACGTTCAGTACCATGAAGACCTTCCGTGACCTCTTTACCCGTGCACTGAAGGTGTGGTGCATGCAGGAAGAGTTAGGGGATGCCTGAGATCAGAGTGGGGTCCCTTTGTTCCCTGCTGTGGGTGGGTATAGCTGTATAAGACCCGCCCTGTCTGTCCCTGAGCACACCCACCTGTGGACCAGGGTGACAAGACTCCTGTCTGCCTGAGCAGGAGAATAAGGACCGGAAGGAGCAGATGGTAAAGGCAGAGAGGAGAAAACAGCAGTTGGCAGAGGAGGAGGCACGGAGGCCAAGGGGCGAGGACGGGAAGCCTGGTGAGGCTCGAGGGCCAAGTGGGAGCAGGAGCAGGCCTTGGGCCCCAGGTGGGGTGGGGACAGGCCCAGGTAGGGATGCTCTCCTTCCTCTCCCAAGTCTTGCAGTGCTTCCCCCAGCTCCTTAGGGGTTCCTGGAGTAGGCCCAGGTAGGGATGCTCTCCTCCCTCTCCCAAGTCTTGCAGTGCTTCCCCCAGCTCCTTAGGGGTTCCTGGAGTAGGCCTAGGGGTAGCCGCTCTCTGAGGTCTGCTGTGGCTCTGCAGTCAGGAAGGGGCCGGGAAGGCAGGAAGAGGTGTGTGTCATCGATGCCCTGCTGGCCGACATCAGGAAGGGCTTTCAGCTGCGGAAGACAGCCCGTGGTCGAGGCGATACTGAGGCGGGTAGCAAAGTGACCCCGGCAGACCCCCTGAAGCCCACAGAGCCTGGTGAGACCCTGGCTTGCTACCTCCTCTTCCCTGTTCCCTCCCACTGTCCCCTCCTGTGTCTCCTTCTAGGAAGCCCTGTGGGACCTGGGGACATCGGTGGACCCCCATACACACATTGCCTTTGGGACACCAAGGGAGGGTACAGTGGGAACCCAATTGGCACAGCTCTGAAGAAGCCCTATGAGAGTGGGGCTCTCTCCTGGGCATTGTCATTGTAGCCTTAAGGTGGCCAGGAGATGTAGAAGCTGGTGGTCCACTGATGGACACCCTGGACTCAGGCACCTGAGGTGTTTGGATAGACAGGCCTCAGGAGGGGCTCTACTCCAGGGGCTTGGGATGGGTGGGTTATGTGGCCCACTGGGTATCCTCACTCCCCTGTGAGGGCACTGAACCCCCTCTGGGCCTTTAAGAAGACATACTGGGGGACCCTGAGACTGGAGTTTAGAGGGTATAAGCAAGGTCAGGGGTCAAGAACACTTCTGAGGGGCAGGACCAGAATGTCTGAGAGCTGGCTCCTGTTGTTCACTGATGCACCCTTCCATCCAGCAGCTGACAACGATCCTAGACAAGGCCCAGCGTGTGGCACAAGTCACCCTGCCACAGAGCCAGGCCTGGATGCCACAGCAGCTAGTGAGCCACAGGGCTGGGACCTTGTGGATGCCATGACCCCCAGTCCTCTGCCCTCGGAGGAGGGTGGTCCCCCAGCCCTGGAGAGGCGTTCCTCCTGGTATGTTGATGCCAGCGACTTCCTGGTCCCCGAGGACACCCTGAATGCCCAACCCTCCACGGGGACCTGGCCAGTGACTCTGGGAGATGATCAGTCCCTGAAGCCTCTTGAGTTCTCCAGCAATAAGCCCCCTGGGGCCGAGAACTCACACCAGGATGCTGCGGACCCTGAAGTCTTGTGGGGCATCCATCAGGCCAAGGCAGACAGTACAAGTGAGGGACTAGAGGGCACACCTGAGTACAGCCGCGGCGCCCACCTGCCCGACACAGGCCCTGTCAGGGATGAGGATGAGGACGACACAGCCCCAGAATCTGCGCTGGACACGTCTCTGGACAAGTCCCTCTCTGAGGATGCAGTGACAGATTCCTCAGGGTCTGGCACCCTCCCCAGGGACCGAGGGCGAGCCTCAAAAGGGGCAAGCAGGGGAAGGAAGAAGCGTCCCACAAGGAACCAGGAAGGTAAGTGGGAGGAGGGCTAGAGGAGCGAGGCTGAGGGAGGGACATCTGGGTCTGGGTATGTGGTCAGAGCCATTGTCCCACACTAGGGCCCAGGACCTCTCCCTACCATCCAGCTGGTCCCTCCTTTCTCCCTGGGGGCGCTCCAGGCTCAACCAACATCCAGGAGAGAGGGTGATTCTGGGTGTACCCAGGTGGGGATGTGGCACTTCACACAGAAGGACAGCTTTGGGGGCCACTGCGTACATCACTGCACCCTGCAAATTCCTGCCTTCACACCCCCTCTGCAGGGAGTGGGTCCGGGTAGCCCTTGCCTCTTGCTGCTGCAAGGCAGGTCTGGCACAGGTTCCTGGGTGTGGCTGCCTTCATCACCACGACCAGAGAATCTGGGCTTTGGTCTAGTGGTTCGTCTCTGACCCTGACCAAGAGTGTGAGCATGGCTTTCCCGGCCTGCACAAACCCCGCCACCCCAAGTTCAGGACTGCCCACCATTGATAAGCTGCTGAGAGTGTTTCTTTTTTTTGAAAGCAGAAGTTGCCCCTGATTCTGATGCTAATAAAACAAAAAGGTTGTGTGTGATCCAGTGAGGTATGTACGCAGCCTGATTCTGGGTGGACTAACTGTGGCAGTGGGTGCTGGGGCCTCAGCCTGCTGCCTGACCCTCCTGAACACTAACCCTAGCTTCTCTGCAGTCGTCTGGGTGTGTCAGCAACCCCCCCGCCCGGCTCTCAGTGGTGGTGCCTTTGCTGTCCTGCTGTTGCTGGAGAAGGCTAGGCTGCCAAGCCTCGCTTGCCCAGTATGTCTTTTGCCTCATCTGGACACAACCCCAGATCTGGACTCTGGACAAATGGGCCTTGAGGGCAGGGTAGACAAGGCCAAGCCAGGCTCCCTGTGGACAATGAGACCCCAGGGCCTCTGCTGACACAGTGCGAGGTCTTGGACCGGCTCCATTTCCTGGCCCTGTAGGACAGGCTGAGGTTGTTTCTGTCTCTGTCTCAGCTCCACCCTTGACCATGCTAACCCTACAGCTTTACTGACCCCCAAGTCTGCACAGGGCTAGGCCTCCCAAGGCCACACTAGCTCTCCCACGGCCCAGCTTTTGGCCAAGCACATGCCCAGAGAGACTAAGAAGATTGCTGTCTCAAAGGCTGGTACTATCAGGGGCAAGAGTGCATGGGCCTCCCTGTGGCCGGAGCAGAAAGAGGTCCGCCTGGATGCCAGGCCAGGTCTTCCTCACATATGCCACACGGGTCTTCTGGACTCCTTACCTGGCGGGACATACCCCAAGAGGTCAGAGATATGGCTAGACCAGCGGTACTGTTCTGTAGCCTGTGGGTGCAGGAAGATCCAACTCAGGACAGCCTGGCCCCATCATGAGCACTGTGAGCAAGGGCTGAACACCCAGATGCCAGTGCCTCCAGCCTTGCTCAGGGGCCCAGGGTCTGCCTGAAACTCCGGACCTGCTGGCCACTGGCCTGATGGCTCAGGATCAAGGCACAGGAATGAGGCCTGTTAGTTATTGAAGACCCATTGGAAGGTCAGAACTTGAGTTTGCCCTCACTGTTGGGACCAGCATGCTTATGTGTCCCACTATTCCTGGTATGTGCACCGATTTCATGGTAAGGGCAGTTCATGACCTCAGTACGGGTACAAGCACCACAGCCATGGCCATCCCCCAAACCCAGTCGTGGCAGCACAGTTTGCACTAGGACTTGATCATCATCATCCCTTCCAGAGCTTTCCCTCTCCCCTCATTTTTCAATGGTGTTAATCCTTCAATGCAGATTGCCTTATGAGATGATGTTCGTTGGTGGGGATCAGGTGGGGTATCACTGGCTCACATGTCCCTGGATTAGCAGTCCCTCCATCCCAGCTCACCCTAGACTTGCTCCATCCCTGCTGTGGGGATGTACTGATATCCTCTAGGTGAGGTTGTGACAGCTCATTGCCTCGCAACTCATTATCTTACTCTTGTCTTTCAAGTACTGGTTCTGAAACTCAAGCCTGCCACTGTCCATAGGGGGAGCCTGGGACCCCACCCTCCACTGGTAGAGAGGTGGGCTTTTTAGGCAGCACAGAGGATTTGGGGGCAAGGTTCCGGAGGGCCAAGTTTCTAGCAGTCCGTGTGTGGGGCTGCCAGCTGAGAGCTTTGGTCAGCACCCAGCCAGAGAGAGCAGGTAGAACCAAGCCCAGTTCAAAGAGCCCAGTGGGGCTTGGGGAGAGTAGAGAGTGGGTGTGAGTCTGAGATGTGCGAGGTAGGCCACAGGGACCCCACCACAGAGGGAATCAGGCTCAGGGTGCCAGGTCTGGCTGTGACAGCCTCCACAGGAGCAACCTGCTGGTGTTACCTTGTCTCCATCCACACAGATGAGTTCTACTGCCCCAGAGAACCACCTGAGGTCAGAGCAGACCTGGATATATAGGATAGCCTTGGCAGTGGCAGTGCAGAACCCGAGACTGGCGCACACTTAGAGCTTTCCCAGCAAGGCTGCTCCCACAATGCCCTTTTCTGTCTCCACAGGCCTCAGGCAAAGGACCAAAGCCAAGTGAGCACCCTCAACAGCTCAGCACAGCAGAGGGTGCTGGATGTGCTGCCTGGAGAGGCTCTTCGGGGCTGGGCTGGGACTGGGCCCCTGAGAAACCCAAACTCTGTGCCTTACCCAGCCAGGTCCTCTGGAGCCTTGGCCATCGACGGCGGGACCTGGCTTGGCACCTGGACCACCTGCACGCTGATTGCCTCATGATCTGCTTTGCAAACCACCACTCACCCCCTAAAGCATGCACCACAGGGGTGGGAGGAAGCCTCTGTCTGCGGCCATAGGGAGAGAGGCACAGCCTCCCCACCCCACCTCCAGGGCTCAGCTGGTTTTAGTTGAGTAGTTTTCTACATCTATTCTGCTATGGCTGAGTTGGGGATGGTGAGGGCCTGAGGGGAACTGGCCAGTAGTGCTGTGAGTCAATACCCCTTACCTGTGGAGTCTGGCCCTATGACACAGTGTGAGACCACAGCCAGGCCTGCTCTCCCTGAATCCAGACTGGTCGTCTTGTCAACAGAGTTCCTCCCAGGGCCAGCTGCCCCAGGCGGGGAGGGCCAGGGAACAAAAACAGCCTACTTGAGCAATACAGTGTGATCACATTAGCTGCCATCAGCCTCCTCAGGGTCACCCAGCAAGGGGCAGGGTGCCCCTCCCAGTCTGTTTATTCCCACCCCCAGGTGTGCACTGCTGAGACTGTGGGCTGCCAGGGACCAATAAACAGCAACCTGGCCAGCCATGCTTGTTGTGTTTGGACCATGGGAGCGCAGCACGTGGTAGGGAAGGTTCACACATTGCCGCCCCCTGGTGTCACTGGGTGATCAGAATAGGCAAAGGGGAACAAATGGAGGTGAAGGGGAGAGGGTAGATGGGAGGTGTGTGCTGGTTAGCGGGTGGGAAAGTGGACAGTGGGTGGGTGAGCCATGGAGGGGTGGTGCCATGTAGTGGCCGAGGCCTGCTGCCCTTCTGGGAGTGGGACAGGAGGAGGAGCCTGTGGAAAGTACCACCTGGAGTTGGTATCCAGGACAGCTCCTCGGCCCTTATGTGCGGCTGCTCAGCGTAAAAGCTCTCCTGGGTCTGCAGACCGGCTGCTGTCACCACCTCAGGGCCCCAGCAGACAGCAGGATGGGGCATGAGGATATACACTGCCTGTCTTCCTCAGCAGGCTGTCCCTGTCACCAGCAAAGAATGAGCCACAGAGAAAGGTTGCAGGCTGGATGGCATGAGACAAATATCAAATGAAAACTTCCAAAGACATGAGGCTTCTGGGCAGCTGCCTTTTTGTGGTTGTTTTCAGCATGGCTATAAGAGCCAGGAGCCAGCTGACATCTTGGGCAGCAGTAGGCAAATGGAGGCCATGCTCCTCAGAGGTCCCTGGTGAAGGGAAGGAAGGAGTGCCCTGGGCCAGGGCTCCTGCCTGTGGGAGCTCCAGTCCAAGAGGGAACTAGAGGCCTGGGCAGGGAGGCCTTGCTGGTGCTCATGCCACTGCCCATGCTTAGGCACATGCTGGCCGCTCCCATTCTAGACGCTACTATCTCTCTGCCCCTCCGCCAGCAGCCAGGGTTGGGCCAGCTTCACAGAGCCTCCCTGAGCACTGCCCAGGGACCCTGTGCCCAGACTCAGGCAGGCTATACAAATCAGCCATACCATGATGATCAGCTGCAGTCCTGCTTTGTGTAAACATGGTGTAAACTCAGCCTCTCCACAAGCATCTGCTGAGGACTCTTGCACACCCAAGTGGGAAGGAGGTCATCCTGCAGGCCCGTGGGCACTAGGACCAGACAGGACAGTAGGTGAGCAGCCCCCAACCACCACACTCTTGGCTAATTTGACATTGCAAACCTCACCCAGTGACTCTCTTCTGCTAACTTAAAGGCTCTTTGATGACCAGCAAAACCTATGATCAAAATTTTCCATTACCCCAGAGTCCCCTCATACCCACAAGCACCCATTCCCCTGGCCCTGCCAATTGACTGTCTGGATTTGCCCAGTCTAAGCATGTCAAATAAATGGAGGCGTTCACCACATCGCCTCCTGTGGCTGGCTGCTTCTCCTTGCTGAAGCTTTTCATGTCAGCACGGAGCAGTGTTGTACGTCTCATTTCTGAGCCTTGTTCCGTTGCACCACTGGACTTCATTCCATTTCTCCATTCACCCGCCCCAGGTGTGGGTCATTTTCAGTTTGAGGCTACGTGAATATGGTGAGAACCTTTGTATGCTAGGCCTGGTGTGGACTGTGTTCATTTCTCGGCCACACATTCCCAGCAGAATGCCTGCTGCAGGCTGAGCATATGTTTAACTTTTAAAGAAACCGACAGGGTGTTTTCCAAAGCTACCACCCTGTTTCCAATTTCCACCAGGGTGCTTTAATTTTTTACTACACTTTGTGTGTGTGTGTGTGTGTGTGTGTGTGTGTGTGTGTGTGTGTGTGTGTGTGTGTGTGTGTGTGTACCACGGTGTGCATGTGGAGGTCAGAGGACAACCTGTGAAAGTTGTTCTCTCCATCCACCGTGTGGATCCCTGGGCTCAAACTCGGGTCACCAGTCTTAGTGGCCGGGTGCCTTTACCTAATCAGAACCATCTTGCTGGCCCCAGAACTATTGTTTTTAAACAGCTTAGCTCCGCCTTCTCTCACGCTGGAGCGCCCAGATTTTTAAATAAAACAGGCGAGAAGTGTATTCTGGACAGAACACCTACCTCCTCAGACCTAACAAAGCCTCGGGTGAGGCCCGAACTCCACCTGCCTAGAGACAGGGAGAGCTGCCTTCCCATCCTTTCCCCACCACCCACTGCAGTCAGTGGCTTATAGGCACCAAAGCCAGCCCTGCAACAGCTAGGGAGCCCCTGGCACCACAGGCTCATGGGTACTAGTCCATGTGCATTGTCTATAGGTGTCTGTATAACATGGTCTCATGGCGATGTGACCCCAGAAGAAATCCCAGGAGACCAAGCCCACACACCCTCCCCACTAAGCCCACGCAAAGTTGTTTTGAGGTCACACAGCTGCAAAGAAAGAGCCCCCAAGCTTGGCACTGCTATACTGCCTACCACCCTGGACAGGCTCACTGCAGAGGGCAGGGATGCTAATTCAGGCTGAGCCTTGTGACTGGCAGGGCCCCAGCTGTTGGGCTTGGATGAGGCTGTTTTTAGAAAAGCTCTGCCCGCCCCCCAATCTGGCCCTTGGCTATTTATAGTCTCAGGCCTGGGGGAGTCAGTGCCCAGGGCCTGTCCAAGCCCCATGGTAGGTCTCTCTGAGCCCCATCTCATACTTCCCACCCAGGACCCCTTTTAGAACTGCAGCAACACCTCCCAGGGGGGAAAGGCAAGCACACTATTGTCTGCAGTGGCATTCAACTAGGGCTTTCATGATGCTCAGGTCCTTTCATGTGGAAACAGCTCATTAGCTCTAGGGTTCCGCTAGCCTCTCTGCTTCTTCACTTCTCAGCCACTGCTGTTCCCCATGCCCAGGTCCTGTAGTCCCCATCCTCTCCTGGACCTCCATCTCCATTCCTGCATCAGCCACCTCCACCTGCTCCACCTTCCAGGCATCAGACCTTGAACCGGGTACTCCTGCTCTAGGGGTGGGGGTGGCCTCCTACCTGAGTCACTCACTCTATGTCCCCTCCCCAGTGTGGCACTGGGGTAGGCAAGGATGTGTAGCCTACACATAAAGGTCATAGCGCTCCCGTGGGAGATAGTGTCAAGACTTGAGGCCCCCTGACAGCATGACCCATACCAACTGAGGGAGAGGGAGTGTCTATACCCCTATGTGAAACAGAGGGGCACAATACAGTGACCTGTACAGGCAGGGCATGGAAGCAGTGTGGCTGAAGCTGGCTGGCCACAGCCTCTCTTCTCCAAGCTGGGGGAGGGTCAGACCTCAGAAAAGAGTGTCCAGTCTCTCTGGTTTTATCATAGGCCTGGGAGCTGCCACAGGACCACAAGGAGTGTGACAGCTGTGTGAACCTGTCCAGAGAGCAGTCAGCACACTCTGGAGCCCGCCCCCATGAAAGGCAGACCTCCCAGCCTGGGTTGGCCTGCTCCACAGTGGCGGGCGGGAGCTGGCCCAAGCAGTGTGGAACCGGCCACTGCCCCTCCCTGAACACTCTGTCCATTACTTGGGCTGAGACAGGAATGAGGTGTGGTGTGGGACTCTTAGAAACCTGGACCCTGTCCTGCTGCTGTCTCCCTCAAGTGGCAGTGACCGCAGTGGGGGGAGCGCTTTACCCTAGACTTGGTGCTACCCAAGTATACTTGCAGCTACCCCCACGGGCTAGCTACAGCCACCCCACAACTGCATGCCATCCCCACAACACGCCCTGGGCCGACAGGGATGACTGCGTGGGCCCGTGGGGAAGCTGTCCTCACCGATGGCGACTTTCTGGGTGGCCCCCAGAGGGCGCGCGCCCAGCCCTGGACCCCGGGTTCACGTGGGAGCGCAAGTGCGCAGCGCCGATCCGCCAGGTCGTCGGCAAAGGCGGCTCCCAAACTGCACTCGTGGCCTGTTAAAAAAAAAAAAAAAAAAAAAAAAGATATCTACTAGCGCAGTTCCTGTGACCCCCAAACCCTCAGCCTGGCAGGCTGGGGGACCAGGTCACAGCAGCCGCCCCGGAGAGCGCGCGCTGACCGCCACCACTCGCGTCCACGGGTGCGCGGGGTCATCTGCCTGCCGAGGTGTGTCCGTGCGTCCCGGCCCCAAGGGTGACCACCTGACCCCCGGCTCGGGGCAGCGGACAGGGGCGGGGAGCCGCGCCCGCAGGTCCCCAGAGTGCGTCACGCCGAGGACCCGCCCCCGGCCCGCTCCCCGCCCCCGGCGGCCGCATTTAACGGTGCGGGAGCGCCGGCTGCAACGGGCTCCCGGGCGGCCCAGTGCAGCGGACCGGCCAAGCCAGCATGTCGGGGACCCGAGCCTCCAACGACCGGCCCCCCGGCGCGGGCGGAGTCAAGCGGGGGCGGCTGCAGCAGGAGGCGGCGGCGACCGGCTCCCGCGTGACCGTGGTGCTGGGCGCGCAGTGGGGGGACGAGGGCAAAGGCAAGGTGGTGGACCTGCTGGCCACGGACGCCGACATCGTCAGCCGCTGCCAGGTGCGGGCCGGGCGCCGGGTCCCTCCCCAACCCGCCCAGTCAGCTTCTCCCCTTCCCTGGGATCCGTATGGACCCTGTCCTCTTGGGCCCTGGGCTCACAGCTTTCTGGATTCCTTCCCTCGAGGCGCACCTTCCCCACCGCCTGCCCCCTTCCTCCCCACACACACCCTCTCACACAGAGCCCTTGCCCACCCACTCACTCCCCTGCCCCCACTCTGCCCACTTCCCCCAGGGCAGTGGCCGGAGCCAGAGCTATAAATATAAGTTGCTGAGTTGGGGACACCTGATCCTCAGGGGGTAGGGCGGTCCATGAATGACGCTGAGCCGACTGGTGAGGAGAGCCCCGCTGGGGTGGCCTGAGGTTCCCTAAGACACTGCAGGGATGTCTGGAGCCGGTTGGGGGCTCCAGGCAGAGGTCAATAAGTGACCCAGAAGGCTGAGAGCTGCTTACTGGGCAGGGAGGGGGTGGCCCTGGTGACTCAGCCAGGCAGAGGCAGGATCAAGACTGGACTGGCTAGCACCATGTGGAATGGAAGAGGCCTGAGGGAAAGTTCAGGAGAGTTCTGGCTGAGGTGGGGGAAGGAGGAGCCATAGACTTATGGCCAAGTTGACCCAGTGGCTGGTGGTGCCCAGTGGAAGCCAGAAACCAGCTTTG